TGATCTACATAATGTATCTTCATGTTGATTAGCTTTTTCTTGTTGGGGGGGATCTTAAGTTGTTTGTGTCTAATGAAAAACCCCATCCTACCCAAGGACATTATTCTGTTAGACCGAAGCCAACAAAAGATGGTCTATAAAGAAGAGATGCAGGCTTGGTAACAACTTGAAAATAAGAGATTAACACTAATGAGGGATAGAAATTGTTCACTTATATTGTTCATGTATAATTTAGGAAACATACATGTAACAACCTGGGCATTTATAGTGAGTATACCTATTATGTCAGCAATCCACGAGTCAATACTGTATTCACAAGCATCTCTGTCATAAAATTATTCCTTACTGCAATAGAATATTATGGATTACCTTCATAAGCAATGAAATTAATTAAAGGCACACATGAAAGACTGAGATTAGAGAAAGAAGTTTTTCTCCAGCTAACTGAGATTATTGAGTGCTCTGACCTCTCCACAGGATACATGGCAACAGGTTCCTGCAGCTCTGTAAGACTGGGAAAGCAGACTCCACTGGGAATTGCCACATAAGCACCTCCTTGCGGCACTGAATCCTCAGAGATGAAGCCATAAAAGGGATGCTATCTTAAAATCCCTTGGCGTTTTGCTTCACGTTCTTCCAGAGAAGCTCCCTGTAGATGTACTTGTGGGAATCTCTTGAGAAGCAAAACTGGATTTACAGAGGGGTTGCAGAACTGCTACCCTAAATCAAACATTTGTGCTACTCAGACTGTATAGCTCTTCAAGCTCTAAATACCTCCTCATGCTCTAAATATCTTTCCTCATAATGCATGATCAGTGAATAATATAAGAAGGACCAAGTCTGGGAACTATCACAGTAAAAATATCTATGTATATTTTAATATACAAACACACAGCTGTCAGTTCAAGAGATGCGTACTCAGCTTACCTCCATATAAAACTCAGGATGGTATAACTAATAATCCACATAACAAAAATACTTAGGGACACAAGACTTGAATGATACTTTAGACATAGTGACCCGGGCTTTAACTGATTGGAAACCAGGTAGTAAATCCACCTGCAGGTACACAATGATGCCATTGCTGTGGCCCAAACTAGCACGGAAAGTAAATTAGTGTTCAGTAGTCCTACACGGAAATAAACGAAAGTTATGGACTTCTGCCACAGCTCAAGTATTGCCATTCTAGGCTTAACAGCCTAATACAATTTGAGAAATCTTTATATGTAGCCCCACAGAGTATATGACACCCAGATGACATCCTAAGTGTCTTAGTTGCTCACAAACAAACAATGAACAACTTTTTGACAGTTACGATAAGCAAATCAGTGAAAATGAGGTTCTAGAAACACAATCAGAATTTTAAAGAAGAGTGATTTAGGTAGCATTCAAATATCTTTTCTGACAAATACTTAAGGTTCAGAGAACAAAAGTTCATTCTCCACAGTTAGTGCAGAACTGCCTGTTAAAGCCTGATGCTTACTCATTTTTGTCAGAAGAATTCTAATAAGATGGCATAAAAAAAGAGTATTCTCCTGTTTTGAAAGCTGAGACATTTTATTTGTGAGTATCCAGCTGTAATTCCACAGCGATTATGCATCCAGTGGAAAGATGTTGGCTAGTTCGGTAAAAATTATGGTCATAATCACTTGCCTTTACATTTCACACTAGATAATAAATAGAGATGTCAGGTAGATTTTTTTTCCCCATGGGGAAAAAGAGAAATCAAAAATTTCTCAGTAAAGCAGGCAAAAATTGAACTATTTGCTTCCCAAATGAAAATTTCTTCCACTTCACAAAGAAATACGTTACTCTGGATGATTTTTCTGGACTGTAAGAAGATGCCCTGTATCTTCACAGGAGAGAAGAATTGGAAAGAGTTGATTTCTATGAAGTGTGGCAGGAGAGGCTTCCAGAACCAAAAAATGAGACAAGATCACTCTCCTGACATCACTGATTGGTTACACAAATGCTAAAAAAGATGAAGAATATCTCAATAGCGGTATTGTCTACCCCAAGATGAAACACCAGAATGAGCTATTAAAAGGACTAAAGGGAAAAACAACAACAAAACTATAAACCCCCCCAAACCCCATTTCTTTGATTCAACAGTTTTATTCCATTTTTGTCTGTTATAGCAATGCCAGTGAGAGAGCATTCTTGAAAAAGACTGCTTAACATGGGCTTGACAGAATCAAAAGCTTTGAAAGCTGAGGTGACTGTAAAAAAAAAAAAAGACAATCAATGTGGCCTTTTTAAAAGTTTTAAATGATTAATTAAACAGTTACAAAAGCTCAAAGCATATTTTTTCTGGTTTTCACTTCAAATGATTTATTTTTATAGAATCCCAGACTGGTTTGTGTTGGAAAAGACCTTAAGATCATCCAGTTCCAACCCCCTGCCTTGGGCAGGGACACCTCACACTAGAGCAGGTTGCCCAAGGCTCTGTCCAACCTGGCCTTTTACAGCAAAATAAAGCTTGTACAAATGGCTGTCCATGGTGATTCCAAGTTTGCACAAAGATATATCCCCCCACCACCACCTTTATTTCCGTTTAATAAATGGATACAACAGAATTGTATGACAAAAATGGGCAAAGAAAGGGTTGCAAGAAGTTTATATTGCCCTGGAGTCAATTTGCTGGTCAAAGTTGCAATGACCATTTTAAAACCCCCACAAACTGAAAAAAACCCATTCAATTTTGTTCAAACAATTCCCCCTTCAGTGGGAAAAACTTAATGAATGAATATTATTAAACCAACATACAGATACAAGCTCTCATTTCATCAATGTAAGGTCATCTTGTATGTCAACAAATTCTATGACATGCTTTACAGTGAAGACTCTCAAATTGAGACATCTGTCTGCATTGGCTCTCAGGAGTCATATGAAACACAAATGAGGACACATTAACTAGTCATACTGCTATGCCTTTTCCTGGCTTCCAGAAATACATGCTAGCAATGCATTTATAGCATAAACGTATTGAATTCTTTTTGTACATTCCAGTTTCACATAAGCAATACCTGTACTTATACCAACTAAGTTAATGTAACCACAGATGGAAAGATGCTCTGAATAAGCACTGATTGGCAGCAGTGGAAATTGGTGCACTTAATGATCCCTCTATTAAAATATTGCTCAGATATTAAAAAAAGAACAACACTGCTCTAAGCTTTAAAATTCAGCGTGAACAGCTGATGTGGGCTGAATCCTTCTTAAATAGATATGATTATATTTCAATGTCTTTTGTGATTATGACAATTTTGACAAGATAATCACCTCCAATGAACAGGACTTCTTACATTTTAGAGAAATAATGTAAAATTCATTAAATAATCTGTCAAATTATCTATGAACCTTGCTTTAAAAGAAATCCTATGATCTCATTAAAATAATTACAGAAAATCTATGCCTGATCTTACAAATAAGCAGCACCAGTATCACTAGATACAAAAGAGAGATCTAAAAGTAGAGGAATTTGCAAGATTTGAAAGGTGGTAGCATAGATTTGTTCTCTTAAGGTAGCCAACAGAAGTTTCTGAATTAAATATCTTGCTCTCTATGTCAAATATTGAACTATAGTCTTCAAAATGTAAGGAAAGGAAACATGTCTGTAGCTATATTGAAATTAAATAATCTAGATATGTACACTGCAGCCTCATTTCTCTTTCCTTTCTTCACACTTTGTTTGCCTCTTTGCTCTTATTGCTCTTGGGGCAAAGCAAAAGCCAGTTCTACACAGCACACCACTTACACAGGAAGGGAAGCACAGGTACAAGCAAAAATCACTAGGAAGTGTCTTTAAAAAAATCTTTGCCAGAATTCTCCTTTCAGGTAAAACATGAGAAAATAAAGGAGTGAAATCTGAGATAGTGTCAAGAATAAGAGAAATTATGAATTATAAACATTCATCTTAATCGTACGTATTTACACTTCTTTTAGGGAAAG